TTCTACATCACACTGTACAAATTGATACTGGACCAGGATGACTTCCAGACAAATCCTGCTGCTTGAAATGAGGCATCAGGTTTAGTGAGAGCAAACCAGTGCACTCGGTGTAATTAATCCGTTTGACCACAAAGCAGGTGTCTGATCAAACACACACAGATCCAAAATCCAGCCCCTGACCACCAAAATCCTGACTAGGAAATCAATGTAGCTGTGGTACTGGGCGAACCGTCCCCTGTCTTCCTGCTCTTAATCACAGCTTCAACCTGGTTTCTGCAGTGCCAGATAAGTGACTCTGAGGCTTGATAAGATGAAATGAGTGATTGATTGCCTTTTCTAGTGGAACCCCACACTGTCATCAGAGTCTTAGAGCATAAGCATGTCTGTACATTAGCTGAGAGCACCTCCAAATTTCCCGTAGTCCTGCAAACATGATTCATCGTACTCTCTTCCAGGGATGTATTCGCATGAGGGGATATTTTGCTGGATATTTGGGGGAATGTGTGGCAGGATATTTAGGTGGACTTTTGAATTTCTTTGTTTAGGATCCAGTCATGCCATCACAGGAGCCCCCATCAGATGCCAAGAGCGAAGAGGTGGACCTTCCACCAGATGATACAGAGGACACGGACGGGAGTAAGACACTGAAACCATTTTCTTCTTTTTTAACAAGGAAATAGACTTGGGTTCGGTTTATGTCCAAGATATATAATGTTAAGAGCAATGACCGTGCAATGGTTTTGAGATCGCAAAAAAGCAACTCTGAACAGTAACTGTAACTTTATGCAAAATGCTATGGTCTGGTTCTATCAGAATGAAATATTTCTCATCCCCTCATTCTTCTGTATTGTTTTATAACCTTAAGTAGGAAAAGTTCTTGGACATGGATTTGCAGGACACTGCTTATATTACAGCACAAGTATCAAACGACAACAATGTGTCAGTATCCGAGTACTCGACTGAAATGAGTATCCAGTAGGGATAACCTCCTTTTACGTTTTTAAGTGTCAAACAAGTACAGTGAGTCAGTATCCATACTCATAAATATAGCAAGTTTTATTAAATCAACTTGCTCTGTAAATAGTTCTCTAAGGCTACATTCATACAGCAAGCCTTAGCGCTCAATTCTGATTTATTCCTCAGATCTGTTCTCCTTGTTTTATAAATGTGGCCCATTCCAGATACCAATGTGAACAGGTCACAGTCCTGAAGTGACCCGCATGACCAATGTAGATAGAAGTGAGAAAAAAAAAAGCTCACAGACACACAAAAGTCACAGGTTGATCAATGACCAACGTCAAGTATATCCTGCACCTGCATTTCCTGTTAGCATAAATGTTGATTTCTTGTACACTAACCAAGTTTATTATAAAACTAAAACTAGGTGTGAAAAAAAAAATTGTTGTCTAAAAAAAAAACCTTAAGAAAAAAAAGGAAAACTAACTGAAATGTTACAAAACTAACTATAAAATAAATACAAATATAAGGGAGATCAGGGTTACCATGCATCCTGGAAAACCTGGAAATTTAGAGACAAATTTCCAGGCATGGAAACACCTTTCCCTCTTTGACTGTATAAATGAAAAGAATAAAATAAATAAAATACAAATTCTACCTAGTTTGAACTGTTAATTGTGGGCTGTGGCAAAAGTAATGTTACTGTTAGAGGAAAACTGTACTAAAATGTAGTCAATTACGCAGATTACGCAGCAGTAAAATTGGGGAATCAAGCGAATGAATTAAGTGTCTCATAAACTCTGACCAGCAACCTGTGTTGAACCAGAGACACAAACCGGGAATAAAAACTGGAGTTACACGTGTCAATACTAGGCCTGCCTCTAAATTGTATGGCTGTTTGTTTGTGTCTTGTGCTGTCCTGTATTATCAAAAAGGTCCTGGGAGATGTCTTTAGTTTTAGTCTTTGTCAATTTGGCCAAATTTGTTACCATTCTTATCATTGGGGCATGACTGCGATGTGTACATGACTGTGAGTCAGTGTGTTTGTATTGTAACAACTTCTGAACCTCCTCAGTCTTACCCCTGAGATATAGCCCCATATTATAATAAAAAAAACCTATAACTAATACTGAAACTAACAAAAACTAAACTAAAACTAAACACTTTTAAACAATAAAAACTAAACTAAACGAACAAATCCACTCTGGAAACTAACTGAAGCTCAACTGAATTGAAAACAGGCATAGAAACTAGTAAAGAGTAGAAAACCATAATAACTGATACTAAAATGATAAGAAAATGTTTGGAAGAATTTAACGGTTATAGGACGTTTTACTGGAAGTGTAACAATACAAAAACCTCCCAGTAGCATAAAATGTCAGTGCAGAGCCGAGCTGCTGTGGCTTCTTAATGTGACAGGACTCGTCAGTCAGACTCATGATCCTCACTGCTGTATGTTACCAACAGGCTACTGCGCTCTCATTACTCGCTGCATAGCATCATTAACAAACCACTAAAAAGTAGCCATGTTGTCCTCTTTAATTGTCATTTTTGGTGCCATCTGTCAATAGGTGTCACAGACTGTTACCATGGAAACATGGCTTTAGATCAGCGTTAGCATGGGGGAGGTAGAGTGGATAACTTTTAGGCTTAAAAAAAGTTGGCCTGTCAAAATGACACTTCAGAGCAGGCTAAAGTATCTTTGTGAGGCCGGCCACTTTGCTCTGTGCTCTGTGACAGTTAAAATGAGATAAATACATAAATAAACAAAGAGTTTTGAATTGATCTACAAATGGGTATGACAGCAAATCTTTCCTTTCTGGTCCAAAGAAGACACTCATTGTACTGTATGACATGTACACATGTATACAGTATACACACATGGCTACCAGAGTGGGATCAAGGAGGAACCCTCAGGAGCTCTTGATGTAATTCCAGAAGTCCCCGGACAAATGAATAATACAATGGCTACTTTATGACTCTGGTAGCTTCAACTCACATTCACTATCACTACTTATATAACTATGTAACTGTTATCTAACATGACTGCTCTCTGATGGGATCCCATAGAACACAGTCTTTAATCCTATTAAAAGACAAGTGTGAACTGTTGTAGCGGGGTCTGTTTGGGGGTCCCTAATATGAGATGCTCTGGGACCCCTTGTGGATTGACCTAGTTTGGTATTTCCTGTGGATAGCTGGACTTGATTCTGTGTGCACTACCTCCCTCTACTGGCCACAGAACAACATGTTAAATGTGAACGTGCAGATTCACTTCATGTTTGTGAAGACTTGTCATAATTTTGTCTGTTTTTTTTGTTGTTGTTTCAGTACCATTTTTACCGCACAACTGTACAGTGGATAAAACAGAGGATGCAGATACAGAGGTGAGGAGGGCTCTAAATAATTACACATTACTTTGTAATTCATTTAATAGATCATGTATTTTTATTTTTTGGTCTTTTGACTGCAGATGAAATAATATCTCTTTTAAATACAGAAGGCCATGAACATATTTTGGGTTTAATATAATTTGGGAAGCATTGCTACTTTATCATTCGTCTACTTAAAAACTTACATCTAAAACTCAAACCATACATATCTATTCTGAATGCATTATGCAGTACACTCATTCCATTGTGACCTCTACCCCCTCTAGGACATCAAAACAGTAGTGGACGGCATCGATGGCATTAAGCTGTCCCAGGGCCTAACTCTCGGGCTGGGTGACTTCGACCTGATCCGAGTGATCGGGCGCGGCAGCTACGCCAAGGTCCTGCTGGTTCGGCTAAAGAAGAACGAACAGGTGTATGCCATGAAGGTGGTGAAGAAGGAGCTGGTCCATGACGATGAGGTGAGACACTACCTAGGATGTCGAAGATGTAAGACAGGCAGGAAGTGCAGATTCGTTGCTATATGCATGGGACATGGGACGTGGAGTTGATGATGCTGTATGTAGCTCCATAAAAAGTGGCCATGGATACTGTTCACTAAACCAATATTAATATAAATATAACAACAATATAAATGTTAAAGTTTTGTCACAAGCATAAATTAGACGTCCCGATCGGATCTTGTGGCCGACTGAAGCACGTTTTAACTGATGGATTGGTATCGGCTATACTGAGCTATATTAACCTGACCCAATCCTTTTTTTGCGTCAGCTGTCACATGTGTTTTTACTCGCATGGTGCAGAGGTTGTCAACTCACCAGCTCTCCGCCATCTGTCTCTCCTCTGAGCTGCAGAGGCCAGCAAAACACCACCATGGGCAAGGCTGCCTGGCTGCCCCGGCTTGGACCAAAGACAGACAGCGGTTTGGTGGCAAGCTTACAACAAAAAGACAAAAAGAGTAATTCATTGATGTAATCTGCACAAAAGATTTACAGAAAATAAACACTGAACAGAATACAGTTCATTTAGGCAAAGGCTGCACTGAAGCAACAAACACTAAAGAGAAACTCCCCCGAGGCAGCGACCAGACCAAAAACAGAGAAGGTTTGTTATTGTATACAAAAAAAAAAACATTAAGGAACAGCCTGGATGCAGGCAATTTATCTTAATGCAATGCAGAGCTATTCAATTGTCAAGCATATACATTGGATTGATTTTAACAACTTTAATGTAGGCTACTTGAAGTGTGAACTGTGCAACTTTATTGTAGGAAAATACAAGTATCTGATTGGGACTCATTATGGGCAAACATGCGTTGTTGTTAAATGACTTGGCAGGGGCAAATGAAACTTGATTGGGACATCCATATAAATTAGCCTTCTTCTCTGCTGATATCTAAGAGTGCCAGTTCCCAAGATGGCTTAAGTTTTTTATTTAAATTGTAAAAAACAAGTCAGATCTTGACAACTAACCTCATTTGATTTGGACTTGGTCATCTGCCTCGACCAGTTGGGGGGAAGAGTGAGAGAAACAGAGAGAGAGACAGATGT